TATATATATAATTCTGGTCTATAGATGATAAATGTCTGCTGGGGATTAGATCCTAACCTCTGGTTGGATGGCCTCTTGCCATCACTCTAATCTTTAGCAGCCTCCACTGATTCCCTGTCATTTTCATTCAAAATATAATAAAAACCATAAATTAGGGCTCCATTGATGGAAATCAAGCCTCCTAAATATGCAGACATTTGAACGAATATCTTCAGTATCTATTTGAGCCTAAATGAATAATATTGAGCCAATCATTTAGTGGATTCTATCCTTTTGTCTGCAGGAGTTGAAGAATCTTCTTCTGGAGGCTCAGAAAGGTCCAGAAAGCCTCCAGGAGGCCCTTAAAGTCCAGGCTGTGAACCATCGCTCCCAGCAGGACGAGCTGCGGCTGCTCATCGACAGCCTCCGGCTCACTCTGGCTGACGCCTTCACACAGAGGAAGGGCGCCCCCCAGAGGACAGAAGAGCCAACTTCAGCTCCACCTTCTCTTTCTGCCTTACAGGACCTTCGGGTCCACAACCGGAAGATGGAGTCTGTGCTGGAGACCCTGCCGGCCCAGCTGGGGCGGCTCCAGCAGGGCGTCGGTAAAGTCGAGGGCGAGCTGCTGACGGTGAGGAAGCTGCTGGAGACGGAACCACAGACCGCAGCGCTGACCCGAACACCAGCCGGCAGCCCGCAGAGAGCAGAACCAGAGGAGCGGCGGGGGTCTGAGGCGGTGCTGGCAGGGCTGGAGGACACCAAGAGGACGCTGGGAGAAAGAATCCGGATAAACACGGCTTATAACGCCGTGTTCGCCTACACCGCCGCCGCCGTTACCGTCTCTGCTGTGTACCTGCTGCTCAGAGGAACGGGTTGAACTGGACCAGAACAAAACACGGTGGATTAACTCTAAATGCAGAATAATCTCTACCTCCCTGCTGACAAACACTAAAAAGCAGTTACCCTGGACACGCCTCACTTTTAATCCCTTAATTATTTTGGTTTTCTCTGAAAGTTTTAGGAAACCAACTGTATGGGATCGGTTCGTTCCCAGTTAATCGAAGGAAATGTTTGACTCAGATTTTAAATCATCAGGATTTGCAGTCAAATGAATAATCTCCTCAATAAATCCTCTACAGGGACCCAGTGGTGTTTATGCTCACTTTAAAACTTGTATTTGTTCATTACTGTCTGCAGTAGAACCTCTGAGATCCTGGAGTACTTGAACATATCTCTGTGTGTGCTGGTAACGCCTCTTTATTAAAAGGTCGACTGGGAAACTTTGTCTCCTTTCTTTCAACACTACACTAGTAGCCATTCAAAATTGCACTTCCAAAATTCACCACTGTTTGGCGTCATTTTCCTTTTGTCTCTGATGACGGAGCAGCCGGCTTGTTTTTACTCACAATGAATCATGGGAAACCCGAGGCTATGGAGGATACTGCAGACCTGTCCTGCAAAACGGGGAAAAGAAGGATGCATGACGAGGAGACTTCCAATCCCAACGGACTTCGGCGCCGCGCTAGGACGTAATCAGCCGATGAATGTGGCCTTCATAGGAAGCAGCCGCTGGATTCAAACTCAGCACGAATGTGTTAAAAAAAAAAAAACTTTTCCTGGCAACATTTTTGTAATATGCCTCAAATTAAGCGAATACTTTGGGAAAAAAAATGTAATGTTGATTTATTTAACATTCTTTTGTAAAACAAAGGTAATAATTAAAAATTAAATTGGAATAAAAGAAGAACATGAAAAGTTTTTTTTTGTTCTTTTTACATTTTTATTTAATTTAGGTATTTAGGAGCAATGCTGTTTTAGGAATCTCTGCAGAAACAGAGCAGTTTTATTTAAACAGATTAAATTCCACACAGATGGTAGCTTTAGCTCTGGATTAACTTTAGGTTCATCAAGGTAAATGCATGCCACACTATTCAGATTTGTATTTGTAGCTCATGCACCCCTGCAGAACTGCACTGCAAAAAATATCTAGAAATAAGTACAAATTTACTAAATCAATAGTATTTACTCTCAATTTTATTAGGTTAATAGGATGATTCACCAACAGAATGAGTATTTTTACTCTTAAAATAAAATAATTAGATAATATGCACTTGTAATAAGACCATGCTGTTACTTTTATTTTAAATGGAAATCATGTTCTATTGGCAAAGTGTCTCACTTACCTCCTCAATTCAAGACAAAATGCACGTATTTTAAGAAAAAATACTTATTTAGATTTTAAGTTTTTGCAGCACTTTGTGTTAGTAGGCTTCAAAGATCAAAATCACACCACATGACTTCAAAATTTTTCTCTCTTTCAGGCATGTTTCATAGAGCTACTGAAACACTCTTTTTCATTAATAGCTGCTTCTCTGTTTGGGCAGCAGGTCGTATTCCCTGTAGAGGATGAAGTCCTTCAGTCGCTCCGGCAGAGGCAAAAAGCTCATGAAGGTGGGCGATCGGAGGCGGAGACGGCCCAGGCATCGACGGATCCTCAGGCGACAGAGATGCTGCAGGCACCGCGTGTTTTCTGGGGACGGAGAAAAGGGATCAGATCCGTGATTTCTTTCTCCTTTCTCAGCTCACTGCTAAAGTTCGGTCACCTTGTAGTCTGCAGATATCAGACCACTGCTTCTGCTCCATCAGAACCACCTTCAGTTTGGAGCAAAAGGTCACGTGGTCGACGTAATCCATCAGCACACGAACCACGCTGCCGGACAGGTGTTTCAGCCAGTTGACGGTGATGACCTCACAGAACTGCACTGACAGAGAAACATTACTCTTAATGTGAAAATCATCATCATGTGAACCTGTGCATCAAAACAGGTGGTTGTGTGCAGGTAAAACATCGACTCTCTGTAAAATAAACTGAAAAATAAGCATAAAAAAGGTAAAAATG